GGGGGCCCCCCCGCGGCGCTGGGCCGCGGGCCCCGCCACCCGCCGTTCCGTTCCCCACAGACCCCGAACGGAGCTCCTTCTCCTGCCTTCCATCCTTGTGCCGATCCCGGGGGAAGCAGGCGGCTGGCCCAGGCCTTGTCCCCCTCTGGGACCCGCGGTTACCTTCGCCGGGGAGCAGGCCTGCTTCGGGGAAGGGGTCTGTGCCCCCCGGTGCGCAGGGCAGCGGACACAGGCCGCTCGACTCCCACCCTCTTCTTCGCCTTCAAACAAGGGAGTGAAAACTCGCTCCAGGTTTTGCATCGGTGACAAAAACGCCCTTCGGAGCAGAGCTGCAGACAGACAGTACCACAGGGACACCCCTCCTGTTCTCCAGCCCCTGCCCAGGCTATTTCAAAGCATGTGGGAAGCTACCGAATACACATTTTTATCTCAAGTTGCTGAGGGGAGCGGACTTTCAAAAATCAAACTCAAGGCAATTTAGGTTGCAAAGCGACTCCCTGCTGCAGTCTGGAAAATGGAAGACCTCAGAGGAGAGCAGGAACCCAAACGGCAGCCTGATAGCACCACACACAGGGCAGCGCAGCAAAATGACCCCAGGTGCCAACCCCGCTGCTTCAGTGCCAGGTGGATATGCGTGCTCTTACCCTCGGACATACCTTTCCACCTTCAAGAGTCAGAAATTGTTATTTCGAAATAACTATGTCTTATTAACAGCTTCATTAATAGTTCTGATTAACAGTTCATTTTGTCTTCCAGTGGTTTTAAAGTATTGGCACTGTAAAATAGGTAACAGCCAGGAAAACGTGGTTTTGGCATGTAGCGGTACGGTAATTTTCACTGCATTATTATATACAATAAAGGACAATCAGGCATTTGAACGTACACACAAATGTTTTCAGGAAAAAAACCAACACGTTAAAGATTCAGAGTAAATTCCATTTTATTTGTTTTACAAAGTCAAAAACATACAGATTGTTTAGTCCAATGCTTCCACATCAGATCCAGAGCAATCCAATTCATGTGCTCTTACAGAACTAATACCACTGACTTCACCATCCCTGTTCCAAAAAATTAAGAAAACTATGGGATAGGATCTGCGTCTCAGATTTGATCAGCACCATTGCATCGGTATTCAGGTTTTTTCAATGTACAGAAATGTTAGCCCCAAATCACGTCTCAGTACAACATATTTTACTTCAAAATCAGAGCTTGAAATTATTCGTTCAAGGACAGAAAACAACCTCCACTCTTCAACCATAGGAAGTCACCACAGAAAACATGGGTAGCTGCTTGCAATTTGATTTGCCTTGTAAGTTTCAGTGCACTTTATGGTAATAAAAAGGAATGTTCGAGACCAGAATCTTTATTTAAAGAGTAGGTAAATACAGACAACAGCAGTGCAGACTTCTCGTGTACTCTGAACCCTGTCTCCTAGAGCTGGGTAACTTCAGCCTCACTTGGAGCACTCCATTTTGGAATAGAACCATGAAACAAATCACTTAAATTAAATTAAAATTGTTCTACATTTAAAGACGTTTACTGGTTCTCATTTTTAAAGCTGTCTCAAATATTCAGGATTCACATTTCAAATGGCCTCGCCAAAAAGACAGACTGATACATACTTCAAAAAGAATTTAACCATCATTGCTAACAAGGAAAGTAACTCATTTCAAGCTCTGCATTTAAAGTGCCCATAATCTTTTACATAGCAACCAGCACATAACATATAACTTGTGACATTTATCTACATTGTGTTATCACCACCTATTACAAAGAGCAGGCACCGAACTTTTAAAAATGTTATTACAAATCGTAAAGAGTACATATTACTGAAAAGTTAGAATCCATGTTCAAGAACCAAGAATTTAAATACTTTCTGCAATGTTATTTTATGTATATATTTATAGATGAGCAAATACATGTATTTTGGGGTTTGGCCCATTTCCCTCAAGTTCATAACCAAAAATCATACTGGACCACGTAAGCAGGGGAGCGCTCATGAGCTGGCTGACAATGCAGAATCCTTGCAAGTACCTAAAACCTGAGCTGGAAAGAAGTTATACTCTATCAATAGTGCTAGATTACCTTTTTAAATAAACATGCTCCCTTCCCACTCCTGCCCACCTGTCCAGGAATATGAGAGAACTACTATTTTCTTGCCCTTCACCCACATGCACAATACACAGATGTGATAGACACTATATATCCTCAACAGCGCAATATCTGATCAAGTCCACGTTAAGTGTTTCTTAAAGCACAGTGCAATTTTAGTCTGAAGCACTTCCCCCCTCATAATATCTATAAACAAATAAAGCCTATTTTTAAATCAATATTAGAAGTCAACAGTCTTGCTTCACCTGCATCCTCAAAACAAGACTGTTTTGCTTGTTAGGAAGGACCCCTACGATTGAAGATAGTTAAAACATTAGGTCTACTTGGTGCTGCAGTGCAGGTATGGAACCTGCAGGACTCCCAGGCTTCCAAGATCAAGTTGCCTCCAACTTACTTCTCCTTCATTTTTTTCAAATAACGAGCCCGTATTTGTTTGTTTGTTTTCATGACTAAATTAATGGCAGCAGGCGTAGGTAGAACAGAGAAGATCCATCCCTAGAAAAAGAAAAAGGGAGCAGGCATGTGTCTCAGCTTTTTATAGCCTGTACCAAGTGAAATCTAACAGTTACCAGCACGTGCAAAAATCACCAAGTTATGATTAGAAGTTAAAGAACAAAAACATCTAATATTCAAAATTATTCTTTACTCTTCTTCCATAATAAACACATACAGAGGACATTCCAGATCCTTAGGTTTTCCAAGGAGACTTACCATGAGTGCATGAGGTAGGCACCCGTTGGTCTGGGACTGCAGGCCTACCGTGCCCAAGGCAGCTCTGACATACGTTTCAGGACTGGGCTTATCAAAGGTCGGCTTGCGGATTTTGGACATTTTTGTTGCCACATAGTACGGTAGAACACTCTGCACGTAGGAAAGATCACGTTAAGCAGAAAATGCTTTCAGATTAACTTACAGATCCATCAAGGAGCTAAAATCATTGGAAATTAGATAACCTGTATACTGAATTCTAGCTTAAGGTAGCCTTCTTTTCGATTCTAAGATCACAATGTACAATATCAAAAACATTTTTTAATCAGATATCTTGTGGGCCATATTTGGGACGTGAAGGATAGTTCAGTGGTCTGTTGACAGCCCACACCCCCAGCTGGGGCCCTAGAACCACCACTCTTGCAAGCGTATGGTTGAAAAGCCTTTCCTGCAATTTGCCTTCTAAGTACAAAACTTCATTCCATTTGTTTAATAGAAAACACTGTGGTGTTGCTTCTCTGTAGTAAACCCCCAATGTTTGCTTGGGAAGGAGGTGCAGAACCCAAGACAGGGATTTTACACCTGATTAACAGCTCTTCAGTTTGGCACCTGTACAGAAACACAAAGGCAGGAGGAAGAAGGAGAAAGGGAAACACCAGGAGACTTGGAACATTGAGCTTGTAACTCCACAGGAGGGCTCAGAGGAAGGAGATTATCGGTACCAGAGTGGAAGACCTCAAGGACAGAAGGAAGGATCAAGAAACAGAGCACAGTTAATGGGCTTTTATAGCAATGTTTGGAAGAAACAGGAAAAGTGACGGTGGGTCTCAGAACTACCTGGCCCTGGCACAATGGGAAAGCAAGAGGAAGCGGCACGGGTTCATCGTTGACAGAGGGACACTGGTACCGCAAAGGCATGTCAGTGGTGGGGCAAGACAGGCCTGGAGGATCCAAAACCGCATTCCACCTATCCCCACCTCATGCTACTGGAGAAGGAAAGGGAAATGCATGTATATTCGTACACTAGGAAGCAACCCTCCTTCCTCACAGAATCATAGTCATGGTTTTGGCATTGCTTTTAACTTGTCCTCAATCTAGGCCTCTAAAAAAAGTAATCAAAAGAGCTCTGGTCTATAGCCACTTAATCAGATATTAAACATACCAGATCTCACAATCTTAGAAAGGTTGGAACCTTACCAGGACTTTGAAAAGGACCTCCTAAGACACTGTCTGTGGCTGTACTAGTGCTTCAATACTTACAGTCACTACTGCCCATCACAGTCGTGAGCACTATGATTCATGTACCTTTACAACAGATATCCGAGAAGCATGTGTCCACTTCTGCTACGCTAATGGATCTCAAAATGAGAATACCATCTCAAAACTCAGTATATTTGAGCAAGTTACAGTTCAGAAACCTGCTTCCCCATGCTTGACCTCAGAAACATTTACTATCACACTCTCAGAAGCACGGCACAGGGGGCAAAGGACCACTTGAACTTCCATTGCCTGTTTATCCATCCCATAGCTGTGCACATTTCAACAGGAATTTAACCACCACAAACAGGAAGCATTGGTGTCTCTGCTCATTCCTTCACCTTAGAACATTAAAACAGTGCACTTCTCTCTAAAAATAAGACTTTCAATAATACATTGCATGAGTCCACTTTCAAATGGAAGAGGAAAAACATGGAGACCTGAGTTTCAGAAGTGTAAGC